TTACTCACACACAAAATTTCTTTCTTAAATTCCCTTTTCATGAACCTTATTATGACTGATACAGACCATTTATGACATGCTTACTTTATCCTACACTTCCTTTTTCTTAAATAACAAGTCATTTTACTTTAGGACAAAAAATTATTATTCAAGATTTTTTCTCCTATAAAATTATTTTTTCTTTAACCTTAGTTAATAAAAATATATATTTATGTCCACAACTTTCTTCACATCTCTCTCTCTCTCTCTGTCTTACTTAATGGTTCCTTTCTATCTTCTTATATCTTTCTCCTAAATCTACATTTTGAATCAACTTTTAAATAACCTCCAAATTAGACAAAATTATTTTTTCTCAGCAAATAACATATTTTATCCTTTTTTATGATTTTTTTTCTCTTAAACACACATCTTGTTTTTTAGGTACACTTTATATACAGAATTATACATATTATTTAGAATTTTTATTCTTAGCAACCTTACATTTTGGTGAAAACCTAGAAGGCAAGAAATCTTGAATCATCTGTCACATATCAGTATTTTATAGATGGAAACCAACTGATAATTTTTATAAACATGTTTCTTTCTAACATAATTTTTTCTTAATTGGAAATAACTCAGACGTTTAATAAGTAGTTATTATTTAACACAATTTTAATATTTCAAAGTACATGAAAATTTTATATATAAGTACTTTATGCCATTTACATTTAATTAATTTAAGTTTACCTAGATTACTTATGAGAAATGAGATATTTGACAAACCTAGGCATTACTTCAAGTTATTTCTAAGTTAATCATTTTTATAGCTTATGAAGACATTTCTATTTTTATTTTACCAATAACTAAAGTTATCTTATTTATCAAAGGTTTACTTAAGTCACATGAACTTGGAGAATATTGGGGCTAATTTATGAGTGAAAAGACAAGTGGATCCAAATTATATCTCTGACAAAATTGGGACCTGTTTACATGAATAAACTTTGTTTGCTCCAATAAATAACATAATGAAGACTCTGAACCAAAATTTTAGATATAGCAGTTTCCATGGCAGTTTTATATTTTTAAGAACCTCTTTCACTTCTTTTGTTTTCTTTGGTTTCACATGAATTTAGGGTTACATTTTTAATGGTTACCCATTATCTAGAACTGGCTGAATTCTGTAAGAAAAACAAAACCTTCAAGCAACCTTGAATTAGTAATACCAGTAGCAGTGAGTTTTATCTCAATACCAGTAGAAAATTCAGCAGATTCATAGTAGGCAGCAGAAAAAAATAGAGAAATAAAGAACTTAGAAGACTCTACATATTAACTTTAGAGTTGCAGAGTTTTGGAATAATGACTACTTGAGTTCTGTATTTTCCTTGATGTAACTTGCCCATCAATGTACAAATGTGCACAAGAATGGGCCATAATATGTAGCCAGCTGGAGGCCTAGAAAACCTGGCATGCCTCAACGATTGAGAATCCCAGAGTGTTCCTCATTAACAAAGTTTAGGGACAAAAAGTTGTTTTAAAAAAAAATCTGTATTTTTTTAATCTCGGCAGTTTTATTCTCATTCTGTAGTTGTTTCATTTGCTTCTTTTGTTTCGAATTTAAATATATTTCCCACTTTTGAAAGAAGGAAATGTGAGCATTGTGAAATTCCAAAAATCTCTGCCTAAGAGACATGTAAGAGCCACAGAAACAAGCAGAAAGGAGTGAGTTCAGATCAGAGGAGTAGAAGAAGGGGGAGCAGGTCAAGGTTACAAAGCTTTTAGGTGCCGTTGGAAGTAAGTCACCCATTCAATTTGTTGGGTTCTAAAGCCAGCATTTTCCAATTTTGTGTTCAAATAAATCACTTTAGGCATTTCAAACAAATTCCCATTTTGGCTGTTGCTGCTTATGACCATCCCGAGTTAGGTTGATTCACTTACCTAAGTACTGGCAAGGACAAAGACCGTATTACACATAAAACCAGCTGGTGCAACTAGAGGACCCACTTCCCGTCTTGGTTGTTTTGAGTGAGACAAGCTATGTAGTGCCCTCACTCAGTCAACGAAGGAGAAAGCTAAGGAAAGGTTGTCTCACCCCAAACTGCCAGGACACAATTCACAGAGCTCCTATTTTCCCTTGCCGTAGTACTCAACAAAAACCTTTACCTCGAATTTGTGGCAGTAACTCTTCATTCTGAGAGAGTCATCGTACGTCCTAGCCAAGGAGGAAATCAGATTGAATAAACCAGAACTTAAGACAAGAAGCTAATTGATTTCAGGAGGAACTCATTTGCAGACCTAGCAGGTGTATCCAAGTTCAAAAATGCAATGGCTTCATTGCCAGTTCCTGCATGAAGGTGGGAAGCCACTCCAGGTGGTCCAGGGAGGTCACTCTGAAATCCCACCAACTATGCCATTTTGTCAACCAAAATTAAGGTTGTTGAGGCTTTGGAAGGCTCGATAAAGGCTTGCTGGAAGCCAAATGTGGGGAGCAACCTGGGAAGACACACCGACAAAGTTGAGCATGTTCCAAGGTCTGTTTCAAGTTGTAATGCCTTTGCAAGAAAGTTTAGGAGACAGGAAGGCAGCTCCACATATCAGAATTGTCATTTTTTTTTATTGGGGGGTACAAGACAAAGGTTACAATCTTTGGCTACAGATCACAATATACATGCTAAAATGTCCTACACACAAGACAATCAGTAAAATTTCATGATTCAGAAAGAAAACAGTGTCCTTTTCAGTAGCTGTAAGCTATGTATTTATAAATATATTGACAGTTGAGGAACTCACGATAGGATTTGAGGGACTCAGGGACCCGGCGCGGTGGCTCACGCCTGTAATCCCAGCACTTTGGGAGGCTGAAGGGGGCGGATTACCTAAGGTCAGGAGTTCGAGACCAGCCTGACCAATGTGATGAAACTCTGTCTGTACTAAAAAAATACAAAAATTAGCCAGGCATGGTGGCGGGCACCTGTAGTCCCAGCTACTCAGGATTCTGAGGCAGGAGAATTGCTTGAACCCAGGAGGCGGAGGTTGCAGTGAGCCGAGATCGTGCCCCTGCACTCCAGCCTAGCCGACAAAGCGAGACTCCATCTCAAAAAAAAAAAGATTCTTTACTCAGGGACAGGATGTAAGCCATGAATCATAAGACCTACCCCAGGAGATTGATTTGGAAGCCTGCCAAATGTGACCTGTAGGTTATCAACATCCATATCTAATCTGTATTCACATCCTATTAATCCTGTCAACTAAGATATAGCTATATCTATACGTATAGCTATATGTACACCCACATCCTATCAGTTCTGTTTCTTTGGAGAACCCTAATACAAGAGGCAACCTGAGAAAGGAGCTCCGCCCCCCACGGAAGGTGAACACTGAAAAAGATACCATCATTCATCTCTTCTCCCTACACATATCATCATCTGGCCACTGATGTTTCAGTCGAGTGTTGAACCAATGTCCCTTGCTTTCATATTTCTCCAACTGATGTATGTTTTTATTATCTTAACTACTGTCACGTGGACATATTAACTTTAAATATTTTGTGACAAAGAGGCCTCTTTTGGAGAATATTCTCAGAGGGTTAAGACTGCCTCTGCCTGCTTCTCGCCCCTCCTGCCTCCTCGTGGTTGATTAGCCTTAATCTCATGATCTTCCATTGTAGTTCCCCACGCTAATATGCCCATCCTTAATTCTAAACAGAGACCCCCTCGCTCACTCAGTTCCATGGATGAATTGATGAGTGACCCTCTTTCACCAAGACACCAACGCTACAAGGGTAACTTTCTAGCACTTGCCTCAAAACAACTCCTCCTGCAGCCTAGGGGACCGTCACAAAGCTATGCAATGACCCCTCCTCTTTTATCCAGACTTTTATCTAGATGGAAGTCACTGGCAGAACAGCCCAGAGTCAGAGGATACTTCATTGTCCTTACCCATAAATGCTCCTCCTGAGTTTTTAAAGTCTCCTTGCCCATCAGACCTCACTCCCTTCCCCCCAGAGTCTTCGATATTCTTCTGAGATGTCCAGTTCAAGGATATCTTGTGTTCCTGAACTGTCTTTATGTCCTGAACTCCGGGTTTATTCTGCTTGTATTCTTCATGTAAATTTGATCTTACTGAACAAAACATAATCTTAAACCAATTCCAGTAATTGCCCCCATTCCTCTCCTAAAGATTCCAGCATTAGGTTGCATTCATAGCACACCAACAGTGTCCAATACACAGCTCAATAAATATTCATTGAATAAATGAATACACTCATAGCAAAAACCCTTCTGGTTGACACTGATTTTAGCAGTTAAATTCTGACATGTCTAGGCATGATTTTCTTATTTATTCTCTTTCAGGCTTGCTAAGATTCATGAATTTGTAAATGTATGTCCTAATCCCCAAACTTTGGAAGATCTGTGTGGTTATTTCCTATCATGGTTTTTATCTGGTTTTCTCCTTGGGACTCCAGTTATTTATAAGTTAAAGAGTTTTATATTTTCCCTATAAGTCCCTGAAGCTCTGTTGTTTTTTTTTGGTTTTTTTTTTTTATCTTTTTCCTTTGTTCCTCAGATTTAGTCTTTTATATTAATCTATCTTCAAGTTCACTCACTCTTCTGCCACTTCCTTTCTGCTAATAAGTCCACCTCGTGAATTATTTATTTTATATAATTGGTTTTTAGTTCTAGAATTTGTGTTTTGTTCTTTTCTTACAGGCTCTGTATTTCTGTTAAGATTTCCCTTTTTAAAACCATGTTTCCCATCATTGTAACACAACTACAGTTGTAGTTGCTTTAACACCTTTGTGTGATCATTTCAGTCCTTAGGTCATGGAGATGACCTCTATTGATTGTCTTTTTCTTTGAGAATTGGTCCCATTTTTGTATTTTTTCATATGTCAGGTACTTTTGGATTTGATTTTAATTTTGTGGATTGTTACATTGTTGAGATTCTGGATTCTGTCATATTACTCTGAAGAGTGTTAATGTTTTTATTTAACAGGCACCAAACTTGTTTCGTTTCAAACTACAAACTCTCTCTCCTCTGAAGTGGGCAGCAGATCTAATTTCATCTCAGGTGTTTTGGTCTTAGCTGCAAGCTTCTTTGGGTCTGCACCATGCGTGCACAATTCAGGGATCAGCCAGAGACTTGGGGAGAATTTATTCACAGAATTTGGGGCTCTCTTCTCTGCTTATTTCCTCTCTGGAATTCATTCCCTCATCTTCCAGCAGCTGTCCTCTGTCTCTATCCTCTGGTTCTTCAGGCCAGAAAGACACTGGGCTTTCTGTCAGCATATTCGATGCTCTGTGCTGTGTCATGACCGTGGCTTCCTTCAACTCAAAAGTCATCGAAAGGGGAAACCCACTTCACGCTAGTCCCTTCTTCCAAGTTTCAAATACGCAACACAATCCTCCTGTCTTTGTTCGCTACTCAGAGCCTTTCGGATTTCTGTATTTTATCTAGGGTTTATGGTTATCACCTGAAGGAGGGTCAGTCTATTAGGAGTCTATTAGGAGCGCACTCCACCGTACTGCAGAAGAACCAACACACAATCGACACACTGGCTTTAGAATAACGTTCGGCATTTTCAGTTCATTTATACACATATTATTTGTAGTGCAGACTCACATACCATCAAAACTATAATTCTTATGTATTTTTTGTTTACTAATTGGGAACCAAGAAATAATGACAGATGGGTAGAGAAGAGTTACGGTGAGAACTTTCAGCAGCGGAAAGCTAGAGCAATTGAGAGAAATTCTGGAATTTCCTTGTAGCCGAGAAAACAAAGGAAATTATATGGATTTCTTATGTTTCAGAGTATAGTAATGGGACATCTGCAAGTCCACTGAGGAATTCACTTCCCTGGTCCTGAACTCAATGGGGTGAGGTGTCATCACCTGTCAGTAGTGATACTCGTATATACCGAGTTACTTATTATCTGTTTTAATCCTGAGATTTAAGAGTTAAATGAAATTAAGTAAAGAATTTTTCATAGTGCAGATAGAGAGCAAAGATAACGATGGTGGTGGTGGTAGCAGTAAGATAAACTCTACTTGTATCTTATCTTTGTAAAGGAGAACCAATTTCACCTCCTGATAGATTTCAACCCAGTATGTCAGTGACTCCTAAGTCAGAATGTCACTCACTTGATTTGGCTCCAGTGGGAAACTGTCTCCAAAGAACCAGCAAACCCGTCATCCCGGAGGCAGAACACTGTCTGCTTTCTGGCCAGGTTCTGGGCATCAGGTCCCCCTACCCCTCAGACACTTCACCAGCAAAAGCACTCAGGAAAGGCCTGGGAGCCGGCTGGGAACAGCCTCGGGATCCTCCAGTCAATCGCCACATAAGTGCTGCAAGCTTTGTTCTAAGGAATTAATCAGAGGAGCAATGATCTGGAGAAGGCACCTGGGGAATGAGGCAAGCATGATGCACGTTAATCAGCCTTGCGTGGGCAGCCAGGGTTGCCTTTCACGCACAGTTCCTATGTCCCAGAGCCCCCTCCTCAGCCCCACCAGAGGCCACCAAGCAGGGCGTGGGCTCTCAGCTGTGTCTCCAGCCCTGGGGGAGGAGGAGGCTCTGCACAGAACCATCCACATCCCCTCACATGAGAGTCAGCTGGCTGAGCTTGTGCCTGGGACTCTGCCTGGGGAAGGGTCAAAGGCAAAGCCTAGTCTATGTTTATGATGAGGGTTTCACTGGTGGCCACAGTCAGGATTTATGGGTAGAGGTAAGTATGTGGCAAGGATTAGGGAAGAGTATATAGCAAGGACCAGAGCAGTCTATGGCCACTCTGCCTGTGGCTCTGTCTGTGATCAGAATAAAAACTAAGCTTATATTCATGGTGAGGGCTTAGCTGAGGGTCAGAGTCAGGGTGCTGGGAACCCTGATTAAAAACCTAGCACCTCTGAAGTTCTCTCAGCCAAGAAGGAAGTCAGTTCATGTGAGGGAGCTCAGGTGCTCATTTCTCAGAAGCTACATGTGCCCTGTCTCCCAGGTAACTGCAGACTAAGGAAAAGTGCATCATAATTACTTGGAGATGTTTGTTTCAAAGGCAGATGCTGCAGCCCCGCCCAATAACTATGAACCTGGGAGGCTGAAATTCAATGAGTTTCCCAGCAATTCTGATGCACTCTAAATCTGAGACCCTCTGCTTCAGATCCCCCAAAGCTTTCCTTCCAAGGAGCTCTCCAAAGTGGCATTCCTTACAGCCTCAGGGCATCTATGTGCAATCCCGAGCCCCTTCCCCACTTTGGATGTGGGGCTGTGGCAGATGCAGTGGTTCCCTCCCTGCCACCTGCCAGCACAAGGCTGATCAATGTAGATATGCCTCAGAAGTCAGCTATGTCCTCCTTCAGTGATAGTGATGGTGGCGCCTTAGGATTTGACTGTGTGCACCCCTGGCTGGCTTCTCTCCATCACAGACAGCAGATCCTACATGATAGTAACAGTGATCATAAATAACAGCAGCTCAACGTTATGTGACACTTACTATGTGCCAGGCATACAGTAATACGTGAGCTACATGTATTAGCTCAATGAATCCCCACAACAACCTCTGAGGTAGGTACTGTCATTGTTCCCATTTCACAAATGAGGAGGGGCCCAGAGAGGTGAAAAAACCTGACCAGGGCCACAAAGCTAAAGAGAGGCAGAGCCCAGACTGATCCCGGAGTATACCCTCTTATCCAAGGTGCTCTAGGCCATAGCAAACAACCCATGGTATTGGTCTCCCAAAATGTGACCATTTCTTTTTTTTTTTGAGACGGAGTCTCACTCTGTCACCCAGGCTGGAGTGCAGTGGCGCGATCTCGGCTCACTGCAAGCTCCACCTCCCAGGTTCACACCATTCTCCTGCCTCAGCCTCCCGAGTAGCTGGGACTACAGGCACCCGCCACCCACCCGGCTAATTTTTTGTATTTTTAGTAGAGACGGGGTTTCACCGTGTTGGCCAGGATGGTCTCAATCTTCTGACCTTATGATCCACCCGCCTCGGCCTCCCAAAGTGCAGGGATTACAGGCCTCAGCCACCACACCCAGCCAACTATTTCTTAAAACAGGCGTTATAATAAGTACTGTCTCTACTAACTCCAGCTGTTCTCCCTCAATGCTTAATCAAACTCTAAATGTATCTCATCTTTGTAAAAGGCAATCCGTGCCTTTTCCTCATCTGAATTTCTCAGAGGTGTGGGAAAACTGCAGGCCTTGCATCTAATGTCAGGATGTAGAGAGAGATGCTTGCTTTCTCTCCTCACCTCTTCCCCTGCATCTCTGATGCCTGCCTCAAGAACCCCGCTCCCTGCATAGCCTTTTCCGACAGCAGGACCAGGGGAGGAATCCAAGGCAGAATCCATGCTCCCCAGGCCTGGCCCTGAAGCCTCTCCTACAGCGCAGGCCTGAAAGGGACTCCTTGTCAGAGCTGGCATCTTACGACCACGACAAGCCTCTGCAGAAATGGCTTCCTAAAGTACCATTGCTCCGAGTTCAAGACCAGCCTGGTCAACATAGTGAAACCCCATCTCTACTAAAAATACAAAAAACTAGCTGGGTATGGTGGTGGGCGCCTGTAGTCCCAGCTACTCGGGAGGCTGAGGCAGGAGAATCGCTTGAACCTGGGAGGCGGAGCTTGCAGTGAGCTGAGATCATGCCACTGCACTCCAGCCTGGGGACAGAGCGAGACTCCATCTCAAAAAAAAAGAAAAGAAAAAGGAACATTGCTCCTTTTCCTCTGTATCATTGGAGACATTGGGCATAATTGAGGTAAGCAGGGGCTTCCCTCTTAACCTAGGCCACCCAAATGGGAAGCTGACAGCTCCCTTATAAGGATTACCCTTAGCCACTTGGAATTTGGCTTTTGTCCTCTGGTTGGTGATTTTTAAGACATGAAAGAAAATGCCATTTATTTCATAAATATGCATTTTAAAGACAAAATAATATATACACATAATTTAAAAATTCAGGGCAGGCACAGTGACTAATGCCTGTAATCCCAGTGCTTCTGGAGGCTGAGGTAGAAGGATCACTTGAGGCCAGGAGTTTGAGACCAAACTGGGAAGTATAGTGAGACCCTGTGTCTACCCAAAAAAAAAAAAATTAGCCAGGTGTGGTGATGCATGCCTGTGGTGCCAGCTACGCTGCTACACAGGAGGCTGATGTGGGAAGATCGCTAGAACCCAGGAATCTGAGGCTGCAGTGAGCTATGATCATGCCACCTCACTCCAGCCTGGGTGACAGAGACCTTGTCTCAAAAAAAAAAAAAAAAAAAAAGCAGTCAAAGGCTGAGGGCTTATGATGAGAAGCAACCGCCTCCTCCCGCCCCCAGGTGATACATAGTTTCCACTGACAGGGAAGTGCTGGGAAGGGAAGAGCCGTGGTCCCTTTAAATAATATGGAAGTGGGGGAAGGAAGCGGCTGGGTAGACCCGCCTCCTCCCCGCCCCCAGGTGATACATAGTTTCCACTGACAGGGAATTGCTGGGAAGGGAAGAGCCATGGTCCCTTTAAATAATATGGAAGTGGGGAAGGGAAGCGGCTGGGTAGAAGAGGGCGTGGTCCCTGGCTAGGGCTCCACCCCCACAGACCTAGGTGAGGACAGGCATTTCCTGCCCAAGTGTTGCATTTCCCAAGACCACCCTGGCCTACCAGACTCCCATCCTCGGCCTATAAAAACCTGAGACCCAGGCGGGCGCGTGGTGGCTCATGCCTGTAATCCCAGCACTGTGGGAGGTCAAGGCGGGAGGATCACCTGAGGTCGGTAGTTCAAGGCCAGCCTGACCAGGCTGAGGCAGGAGAATTGCTTGAACCCAGGAGGCAGAGGTTGAGGTGAACCAAGATCACGCCATTGCACTCCAGCCTGGGCAACAAGAGCAAAACTCTGTCTCAAAAAAAAAAAAAAAACAAACCCCAAAACCTAAGACCCTATTGGGCAGATAGGCAGACATTGAGAGGAGCACATGGGCAAAAGAAGACATAAGCGGCTGGATGTCCTCGAGAGGACATGGAGAGGAGCACGCTGGTGGAAGAACACACGGTCAGGCACCAGCACACTGGCTGGCCATCGACCGGCAGAACAACACGGAGTTGGGACGGAGCTGTGCAAGAAGAGTGGGGCCTCCAAGTGGCCCGACTCCAGGGGACATCCATCTCCCTTCTGGCTCCCCCATCTGCTGAGAGCTACTTCTTCTCAATAAAACTTTGCACTCATTCTCCAAGCACACGTGTGATCCGATGCTTCTGGTACACCAAGGCAAGAAACCCTGGGATACAGAAATCTCTCTGTCCTTGTGATAAGGCAGGGGTCTCACTGAGCTGGTTAACACAAGCCGCCTGTAGACAGCAAACTAAAAGAGCACCCGTGTAACACACGCCACTGGGGCTTCAGCTGTGAACACTCACCCCTAGACACTGCCGTGGGGTCAGAGCCCCCACAGCCTGCCTGCCTGTAGTGCTGCCCTAGAATTTGAGCAGCGGGGCACTGAAAAGGTGAGCCACACCCCCACTGCGCACCCTGCAAGGAGGACAAGGGAACCTTCCCTGTTTGACCAGGACTCAGGAAATGCTTGTTGATTGACACCTTAATATTTCTATGTATGAGCTCAGAACCTAATGAGGTAGAAATAGCTTTTCCTCTTTCATTTTATTCAACATTACTTGTGAAAAGTGGGGCTTATGCTGGGTGGAGGAATAAGACAAAGATGAATTAAACATGGTCTCCCCACCTCGAAATCATCTCTGTCTAGGGGCTGGAGGGTTCGGCATTAAAACGGATATTTATAACGCCAGCAAGAAGGATATAACTGGCAAAATACAAGTACCAGTGAGCATTTTGGGAATCCAGTGAAAGCTCCCAGTGGCTTAGGATGGGAGGAACTGGGTGGGGCGTGGGCCGCTGGGCACCAGCATTTCCATCAAACCTTGAAGAATGGTAGGGAAGACATGAGCCAGTTCTTGTAGGCGGAAAATTTCTGGAATGCTGGGGGAAAGCATGTTGGAGTCCAGATCAGAGAGGGCCAGAAACTCTGTGACCTGCATCCTCCATCCCCTGGGGAGCCGTATTTCAAAGGGCCTAGATTTCCTCATTTATTGGGAAAAATAACAGCAGTCAGATTACATGAGTGAACACACTTTAGAGTACTTGCCACAGGGCCTGGAAAATAGTCAACTCAATAGATCTTAGCTAAGAACCCTAATACCTTCCTGCGCCCCCCACCCCACCCACTCCACACATTCCTGAGTGCACTCCCTTTTCCCCCCAAGTTCAAAACAGCAGACTGTCTCACCAAGATCCTCACCTGAACTAAAGGAGGTGCTTGTTACCGGAAGGCACTGGCACCTGAGAACAGGCAGGTCCTGTGCTCCGGGAAGGCTCTTTCCAGGGGTGTCTGATGCGTGTGTGCTCAGGAACCACCA